CTAACTACACGAATAAACACCTGGTGGGTTTACACTTACACTCACTCCCCCATTTGCCTTAAAAAAGAAATATTTAAACTCAATCTTAAAAAAAATGAATCCTATATACTCCAATACTGGGAAAATGTACTGTGCCCCAAAAAAAAAAACATTCACATTGCTAAAATCAAAAAACTAAATATTTAGTCACTTAGCCATAAAAACCAACTTACCCCAAAAATCTGTAATATTTTAAAATAAAGAATTAAACAAGTACGGCCCGAAATGCCTAGCCATGCTAGGCGTTCTGTGGTACCTCTGTAATCATTATTTAACTTTCATGTAAACCACACAAAAACCAAATTCTGGGAAAATTTCAAAAATTTTAAACTTTTAGAGAATAAACTTTGAAAAATTTAATTGAATTGAATTGAATGAGAAGTGGGGGGGGTTGGAAAAAGGGGTTTGGGTTTTGTTTTAAAAAAAGCAGTATTAAATGTGGGGCAGAAGTTGTGGTTATAGGAGGGTGGGGGGGGGAGGAAAGGAGTGATTGGGGGAATGATGAAGTAAAGGGGTTTTGATAAAAGAGAAAAAGGGGAGGGTTATGGGGAGGTTTTTACAAAAACCCGAAGTGTTTTTAAAAAAGAGCAGAGTATATGGAGAGTAAAAAAAGGTGAAGAGAGTGGTAGAGAGGCAAAAAAGGGGAAACAGATGATTTGAGTGGGGAGGCACTGTCAAGAAATTTTTAAAAGAAAAAAGAAAAAAATTTTGGAGGGAGTTTTAAAAAAGTTTAAAAAAGTAGGGGAAAATATGGGGTTTTTCAGTTAAAAACGAGAGGGGGGGTTAGTAGTTTGGGGGGAGGGAGGTATTAGTAGATGGGGAGAAAATTTTTTTAGGGAAATTTTAAAATGTTGAGGAAGAAAGGGAGGGGTAATTTATGCACTGGACCGGGGGGTATTTCCCATCTTTTAGGAGTGAAAAAGAGCAGGGGAAAGTAAGGGTGGGGGAGGTATGTGAGGGGATTTCAAGAAAGAAGGGGGTAAACAGGGGAACGATGGGATCATGACAAAAAATTTGTTAAAAGAGGGGGGATATAGTGTTGGATGGTTGGTACTTTTTTTTAAATAAATGTATGAAAAGGGGAAGGCCCGGGGTTTGGGGGAGAGCTGTATAGTCCCTTCATATAAAGGGAAAGGGGAAAAAAGAGATTGTAAAAATTTAGGGGAATAAGTTTACTGATAACGGGAAAAAGTATACGGGGGGTTAAAATTGAAAGAATTAGAGTAAGATGAATTGTTTGCGAGGAGCAGGGAGGCTTCAGAGTGGGAGGGATGTTTGACAAGTTTTACATTGAAGCTAAAGTGAACGTATTTAGATAAGTAGGAAGTTTTATTGCATTTTGGATTAGAAAAGCATGATGAAGTGTGGGAGGTATGTGGGGGTTAATAGTATGAAAGGTGGTAAGAAAAAGCGTAAGATTTTATCATGAAGAAATGGTAAAGCTGGGTGGTATGGGTGGAAGATTTACTTTGTAAAAAGTGTATGAAAGAGGGGAAGTACCTAGAGGGTTTGTTAATATTTTATAGAGGGTTTATAAAGGAAGTACAAATGAGGTTGTAAAAATTAAGAGGAATAAAATTTTATGGAATACCAGAAAAGTATACGGTAGGGTATTTTGCAAGAATTGATAAGATATAATGGTGGGATTGAAAGAAAAATGCAAAGGTTTGGTGAGTTTAGGGATGTGTGTAAAGCGAAGTGTTTACATTGAACATAAAGTGACAGTTGATAAAGGTAGGGAATTTTTTTGAAATAAAAATTGATATCATATGAGGAGTGGATAGGAGAAGAGAATTGGCAGATTTGGCAGTTAGGTACGGTGGTGATTACTAAATGCTGTAAATCTAGATTTTGATAGGAAAAAGGTTGGAGTGTGTAGAAGAGAGGAAGAATCCGAAAACATTATCTATGGGGCAAGAATGTGTAATGTCAAATGGTAGTCAATATTTATAGATGGGTTGTAAAAGTTGGGGGCTAAAGGCTGCGGGAGACGGGTGGAGGATGAATGTCGGATTAAAAGTTCAAAATGGGTATGAACAGTAAATTTTTGATGTAAATATTGGTGGGGGAGTTATAAAGCAAAATTCAAAGGGGAAAGGGGTTGTTGGAGGTTTGGTTTAGGCAGAAATGGAAAGTAAAATAGAACAGGAAAGGTATAAATTATAAGAAGAAGAGGGGTGGGGGTCAAATGGAGGGGGGAGTATGGAAGGAAGGATGTTTTCAGAGGGCTTGGGAGTTCAGCAGTCGGCGGTGAGATTATAAGGATGAGTGTTAATGATAGAATTGATTGGGGAAAAAAAGGGATGTCTTTGGAGTATGTGAGTCAAAAAAATTTTAATGGATGCAGGAAGGGAATGTATGGAATTGAGTCCAAAGGAACTCAATGTGGATTTGAAGGGGGGTTGGTAATTGCAGTTGGAGGAATGGGTTTTAGGCAGTGGTATTCTTCTAAGTTGTAGTGGCAATTGGGGTAAATATTATGATAAATTTGTGATGTGTGGAAATTTGAGAATGTGGAGTAATAATATCTTTGGATTTCTTTCTTTTTTGGGCTTGGGTGGGTTGGTCTTTTAAAAGAGAAAATATCAAAATATAATATATAAATATAAATACTATAGGAAGGAAGGGGGTAGGGTCGTACTCGAAACGCCAGGGAGTACTACGCCGGAAGTGATTAAAGAAAGCCTGGCAATGGCTTGACTTCTAGAGTGTGAGGTGTTTTCGGGATGAACATGAGTTTCGGACGTCTTGGACTTGATCTGTTGAGTTGGCAGAAATACTGTAAAGGATAGAGAAACCGTATGCTTTTCGTATTGTGTCCTGGATTGGGTACAGCTGCTTTTAAGGGGGTTTGGATATTGCAGTTTAAGGATTCTGTATCTGGGGAAGTAGTGCTTCTAAATGTTTATCTGGACCTCTGCAAAACCAGTGTATGTGTAGTAGTGTGAAGTGTTGAAGTGATGAAGTATTGCTAGGGTTTCCCCTTTTATGGGTACAATAAGGGGGGAGAACTTGTTTCCCTTTTGAAAACGAAAATGATACTATTTAAATATATATGATATATATATATATATATATATATATGTGTGTGTGTGTGTGTGTGGTATATAATACATGCATATACATGGTATATTGGCAGTTTGGAGAGATGTAAACTGTCATATCTGAGCGCCTCTGCCAAGACAGTCATTACATGTGAGTGACGGTGAAAGTGTTCCTTGTTTGGCTCACAGCTTATGTGCTAAAATAAATAGTACTATTTTTTTTTTTTCCAACAAGTCGGCCGTCTCCCACTGAGGCAGGGCGACCCAAAAAAGAAAGAAAATCCCCAGAAAGAAAATACTTTCATCATCATTCAACACTTTCACCTCACTCGCACATAATCACTGTTTTTGCAGAGGTGCTCAGAACACAACAGTTTAGAAGCATATACGTATAAAGATACACAACATATCCCTCCAAACTGCTAATATCCTGAAACCCCTCCTTTAGAGTGCAGGCATTGTTTTTCCCATTTCCAGGACTCAAGTCCGACTATATGAAAATAACCGGTTTCCCTGAATCCCTTCACTAAATATTTCCCTGCACACACTCCAAGAGATCGTCAGGTCCCAAATACCATTCATCTCCATTCACTCCTATCGAACACGCTAATGCACGCCTACTGGAAGTCCAAGCCCCTTGCCCATAAAACCTCCCGTACCCCTTACTTCCAACCTTTTCGAGGACGACCCCTACCCCGTCTTCCTTCTCCTACTGATTTAAATGCTCTCCATGTCATTATACTTTGATCCATTCTCTCTAAATGACCAAACCATCTCAACAACCCCTCTTCAGCCCTCTCACTAATACTTTTATTAACTCCACACCTTCTCCAAATTTCCACCCTCCGAATTTTCTGCATAATATTTACACCACACATTGCCCTTAGACAGGACATCTCCACTGCCTCCAACTGTCTCGTTGCTGCTGCATTCACAACCCAAGCTTCACACCCATATAAGAGTGTTGGTACTTGTGGCATGCAAAGAGTATGTAACCTTTATTCAGCGCATGTACATACCCTCATTTACAGGCTATCTCCCCCAACCAGCGAACCAGGTTGCTAAGAGTTGATGATGGGGCCCCGTCGTTCATCTAGTGACCAGGTTCTAGCCAATAAGAAGATGGTTTTGGCAATCGCAGAGGTTATGTGGATACCACTCTCCTGTCTGCCCTTGTCATTTCCATTCTAGAGCTGGTTGAAGCACGGTCTGCTATCTTGTGGCTTCTATTTCTGCCTTGCTTACCGTGGAGTGCACTATACTTATCACTGTACATAGTGTACATATTGCTGTTCTAAATTGGTGAAGGATAATATAAGTCTAAACTTTTTCTGCTGTGTTTATTTTGCTCCCATTACACCCGGGATAACAGGCCATTTGGAATCCTGGGTTGTAATACTACTACTATACTTTCATACATTCCTTTCTTTGCCTCCATAGATAACGTTTTTTGACTCCACATATACTTCAACGCACCACTCGCCTTTTTTCCCTCATCAATTCTATGATTAACCTCATCCTTCATAAATCCATCCGCCGACACGTCAACTCCCAAGTATCTGAAAACATTCACTTCTTCCATACTCCTCCTTCCCAATTTGATATCCAATTTTTCTTTATCTAAATCATTTGATACCCTCATCACCTTACTCTTTTCTATGTTCACTTTCAACTTTCTACCTTTATACACACTCTACTAATACTTTACACACACTAGTACTAATATAGTATATAAATAATACTAATATAGTATATATATTTATATTATATATATATATATTATATATATATTATATATATTATATATATATATATATATATTATATATATACTATTATATTATATATTATATAGTATATAAATAATACTAAGACCAATATGGTGCATTACTAATGGTAATACCACACTGGAACTGACCTCCTAATATCGTCATCATGGTATTTTGCAGCATATTCTGGATGGTTGAGGTAGTATACAGCCTTCATATCCATGAGGAAGTTGTACAGTTTCCGGCCACGTACCTGGGAATATACACACTCTCATACTCTCTCTAGTCATATCCAGGAATTGTAATTAGCTTACACATAAAATTGCAAAAGCCTGCAGTTCATGTATAAAATTTTGGATTATTATAAATGGTTACCTGCCTTCCTCTCCTCTACATGCATTATTCATGTGCTATTATTCTCTTACCTCTACATTTTTTTTACATGGCTTTGAAATAAAAAAAAATGCCTTTCATAAATCCCTTTCCTAAGTTAATTTATTGAAACATTTTTTATAACATGTAAATCCCACACTGTAAACTATGCAAAGAAATAAAAATCTGAATTTGAATTCAAGTGGTGCATTTTTCTCTTAAGCTATTATGGTCAATTTCAAAAACACAATACTATTACAAAATTTTCATGGCTACTATAGTGTACAAATAACTACAGCAGAGTACAGTAGGGCCTAACTTTATGGAGTTTCGCCTTACGGCGTTCCACTAAAAAAGACATTTCAAAGTATGACCAAAACTTGCTATACGGCTCCCCCAACTGACTTTCTAATGAAGTCACCGCACACCACCTGGTGTGTTTACAAACCAGGTCTCCGTGAGCATGACTCTTCATTATGTCTGGAAACTTTCCAAAATTTCAAGTGTTTTAAAGTTATTTCATATTTTATACATATTCTGATAATTATCCTTATGTGTACCTGTACCTAAATAAACTTACACATTGTGCTGGTGTGTAGGTACATGTTAAAATCACTAGGAGTGTTTTATTAGTCTTGAAAATGCCATATTAATGATAATAATAGCACAAACAATAATCACTTTGAGGCGCATTAAATGTCAAATACATATTACGTTAATATAGACATTTTCATTAATTCATCTATGATATTTTTTTTTAATTATATAATAAACATGCTTACTAACATATAAACATGATAAATACACCTCACAGTAGAATAAATTAACACAAATATGAGATTTTTCCCAGTTGTTTTCTCGGAGTGTCAGAAAGAATAATGTTTTCTCTAGTTTAACATCATAGAAAATATGTACACAACAGTATTACTGGGGGTAACTGTAGAAAATTACTCCTTTCATATGCCTTCACTCAGAGCGTCATTCTTTCTAAAAAATGGTGTTTCACGAGAATGGGAGTGTTGATCTTTATTTATTCTACTGTACCAAAGTGGAGACAAATTGTATGTAATGTAAATTGTTTGTACAGTGGACCCTCCCTTTTTGTCGATCTCCATTATCACCGATTTCTGTTTTCGCCAACTTTTTTTTGTCAAAATATTGGTTCCCTTCAGGTCAATGGTATAAAACCTGTAGAGTGCCAAGCGCACAGACAAAGCCGCCTCCCACAAGCATTCTCAAGCAGTGTCGCATTGTTTCTCAGTGAGTGAACATATCCTGCAAGGTCATACAAAACATTTCGTAATAATCTATTGTTTTTGGCACTTGTTTATTGTGTATGACTGTTAAATACACCACCATGGCCCCAAAGAAAGTGCCTAGTGCCTGTCCTTTGGTAAAGAAAGTGAAGAACACCATAGAAATGAAAAAAAGAAATCATTCAAAAATATGATAGTGGCATACGCATTGCCGAACTCAGCAGGATATAGAGGAAGACACCATCAACCCCATTGTGGTTAAGAGGAAAGAAATCATGGAAGCTGATGTTGCGAAAGGGGTGAATGCGATAACAAAACAGAGATCCCAAACAACTGAAAATGTGGAGAAACTGTTGTTTGTGTGGACCAAAGATAAACAGTTAGCGGGAGATAGTGTTGTGCAGTTGATAATTTGTGAAAAGGCAAGGCAGTTGCACAACAATCTCATAAAGAAACTGCCTGGAATGAGTGCTGATGTTGGTGAATTTAAGGCCAGCATAGGCTGGTTCAAAAAATTCAAGAGCTGAAAAATTCGTGCAGGAATTCAAAGACTATGTAGAGGCTGAAAAATTCCAATCCCAACAAATGTTCAATTGTGACAAAACAGGTCTGTTTTGGAAAAAAATCCCAAAGAGGACCTACATCATGCAGGAGGAAAAGGCACTCCCAGGGCACAAGCCTATGAAAGACAGGTTAACTCTCTTGTTCTGTGGTAATGCTAGTGGGGATTCCAAAGTGAAGCCTTTACTGGTGTATCACTCTGAAAATCCCAGTGTGTTCAAGAAAAACAATGTTGTCAAGAGTAAATTGTGTGTGATATGGAAGACTAATGGTAGAGCATAGGGTCACGAGGGAAATTTTCCTGAAATGGTTCAATGAAGTGTTTGGCCCGAGTGTGAAGAAATACCTCCTGGATAATAAATTGCCGCTCCAGTGCTTCCTGTTAATGGACAATGCTCCTGGTCATCCTCCAGACTTGGAAGACCAATTGTCTAAGGAATTCAGTTTGGTAACAGCGAAG